GGGGGGGGGGGGGGGGGGGGGGGTAAATGTATAAAGGAAAACTACAGAGTGGGATAGGGATCAATATCCCTAACCACTGGTAAAGAAACAGTTGTACTTAAAGAATTTGTTTTGTAAAAATTGACCTAAGCACCCATAGTTGACCTTCATACCCCTAGGTAATAAGTATACATTTTTTATATGACTTTAATTACTATGGTTTGTACATTGACACAATATGTTACTGCTAAATATTGTGACTGCATGTACCTAAACTGTTAAGTTCTACATCCTTAAATGACCCTAAAATTTCCTCAGGATCGATTCCTATCCATTTTATATGATTTTACCTCTGTTTTACTTAAGCTTGTGTTTTATATAACTAGTTACCCGAGCTGGTAGTTGCTAATGCTGGTAAGATATTTATGAATTATAAAGTTAATATAGAGTTACATTTTAAGGAGCTTTCATGTTGTTATATTAAAGACATTATGAAGTGTATGACATGGTGAAGTGTATAAATTTATGTAATTGCATTGTGTTATTTTATGTAACTTTCTTTGCAATATGTATTAATTTGCACTATACTTAATACATTTTCCATCTCCATTTTAAATTCCATTCCATCAGGCTTCATTATTTGTGTTTTGACACTGAATTGAACAACGTATATGCTATATGTTATCCACATACAGACATCTAACTTTTTGTGGTACGTGTATCCTGTATATTGTACTGTACATGTATATCAGGAAAGGATGGCTCACAAAGCAGAATATTCATGATCTCATCATGGCAAAAAACGTGCAGCATGCATCACATGCATGCATAGGCTAAGACACTAGTTAATAATGAGTCGGGTCACACAGGTAAAAATCTACAGTAAAAGAGAAGGTCAAGGTAGTGATGAGTCCCAGTATTCTGTGTCTTAAAATATCTCCAATAAAGAAGAGTTCCGATTTAGTCAGCGTTGTGCTTATTTTAAATTGGGGGGGTTTAAAAAACAAAAACAAAAATCTTAACAACATTCTTACCTTACAACTTGGCATACCAAATCAGGGTTGAATGTATTGAGTGTGGGGAAAAAAAAGATTTTCAAATGTGGCCTTACTAGTTAAATGTTGATTTTGGCAATATCGTTAATGATACTATGGATGATTGTTATAGAATTGGTTGACAAGAGCTATCATATCGGGCTAGGACTGACGTTAGAAATTATACCGGGGAGTGGAAATGATCAGCTATATATATATATATATAGCCTTTAGACTGGCAGTTAACCAGGATCCAATCAGTATAGGAAAATAATCTTCATTTCTGAACCATTTTAACAAGGTAATAATAAAATATGTATTTTCAGAGGAGTGTATTAACACTATTTTAAATGTGAATACATAAAGCACATGTCACAATTATCAAAAAAGAATATTACTGGCTCATGACCAGATAGCCATAAAATGTTTTATCTTTCATTGAAAAATGTAGAAGAACACGCCCAGCAGAAAACTCAATACCAAAAGTTATTAGAAAGTCACTGAATTTTGCGTTGGACCTGAATGATGAAAGAATTCGTTTTATTTTAGCAAAGCTGAGACATATAAAAAGAGGAAACTAATTTAAGATTCTTTTATGAGAAAGAAATAGATAATGTTTGCAAGTATTGTGAAAAAATAGGTTTTCTAGTTCGTTCTTGAAATTTAAAATTTTACCAGATCTGAGATCACTGCCCCCTCATGTGAGCATTATTTGTAGTTTATTTGTCCCCAATATTTATTTTGACAAGCATGAAACAGTCTTAACATCTGTGATATCATTTCATTATCATTTTATGATGTCAGAACTATCTTAAGAACTACCAGGTATATAGGGCAGAATTTATTCCCAATTATGCATTCCCAACAGAGTTTTCCCAAATTCTTTCCAAGATTTCTCAAAATTTAAACAAAAGTGTATATCACAAAAAGTTTCCAGCATGTATTCAGATGACAACGCATTGATATTTATCATCTAAAATCAAGTATTGTAAATATACAATGCCAGAACCAAAGGCCCCTAGAAAACCTAGTCAAAGTATGTCTAAGAGTACACGAGTACCCTAGTAAAATACCAGTCGCTTCCTACCGACTCGGCTAGAGAGATTTTCTCTTCAGCTCATTCGGTAGAGCGTAGGACTAGTAAGCAAAAAGTCCCGTATTCAACACCTGGCAGGGCATTGAAAAAATAATGACCTCTGTTACATAATCAATATAATTTTTTAGAAATATGTCAAATGGGCGTATTCATTGTACATGCATATGTACCTGGTATATGTGTATACCAACAGAGTAATCAAAGCTGTTCAATTGTAATTTGTCATTTTATAATTTCTCCTTATTTTACAGGCAGCCAATTGTCTATTTGCCAGCTGTGACAATGACTGTGTACTGGGTGGTGAAATCTTATCTGGAGGTGACCCAGAGTAAATTTTGTAAGAAATCTACACAGTACCCAACACATTTCACCATGGTGAGTTTGGTGACCACCTCACAGCTTCTTACCACCAGATGTCCAGCTGGTCAACATTTAACAACGGTATGAATTAACTTGAACATGTATTTGCAAATGCTTAAAATTATTTCATATAAACAGTTGTCCATCTGTCAGTTAATTATTTTACAATACCTTAGGTACATGTATCCATGAGTTTTACAGTAAGGTTTGACAATCAGCCAATCTTGATCACTCAATAACTAGTTGCACCAGCTGGCTCTCTGTGTTTTGGTTTGTTTTGTTTTGTTTTCAGCTTACCTGGCCTGAATGGCCAAGTGAGCTTATGGCTTACCGCAGCATCCGTCGTCTGTTGTCTGTCAACTTTTTACATTTTAATCTTCTTCTTCAAAACTACTGGGCGAATTTTTACCAAACTTGACATGGAACATCAAGAAGACATGGGGATCTGAATTTATGAAATGTATGGGGCTGCACCCCCAGGGGCCTGAGGGGCGGGGCCAAATAGGTAAAAATGGGGTAATTTTTAAAAATCTTCTTCCCTACTTCAAGTAGCAGAGAGCAATGGCACATTTAATTATAATCATCAACTAGCCCTCTTTTGAATTTATAAAATGTATGGCCCTGGGGTCAAGGGATCAAGTGGTAGGTTGGCCATGGGGCAATATTGTATGTTATGGATCGGTGTATCTTTGAAACAGTTGAGATCCCCACCCCATAACCATATACAATTTTATAGTATTGCTGGGCATCAAGAGATAAACACAATCATGATGTAAAAATAGGCCCTTGGGTTTTTCCCAACCCCTAGGGACTTAGTTTCTGGGTTATATCTTCGAAACCGTTGAGATCCCCACCCGATAACCATATTTACAGTAGCATTGCTGGGCATCAGGAGATAAACACAAGTATGATGTAAAATTAGGCTCTTGGGTCTTTCCCCACCCATAGGGACTTAGTTTCTGGGTTATCTCTTTGAAACAGTTGAGATCCCCACCCCATTACCATATAGCATTGCTGGGCATCAAGAGATAAACACAATCATAATGTGAAAATAGGCCCTGTGGTCTTTCCCCACCCCTAGGGACTTGGTTTTTGGGTTATATCTTTGAAACAGTTGAGATCCCAACCACATAACCATAAAGCATTGCTGGGCATCAAGAGATAAACACAATCATGATGTAAAACTAGGCCCTTGGGTCTTTCCTCATCCCTAGGGGTTTAGTTTCTGGGTTTTATCTTTGAAACAGTTGAGATCCCCACCCTATAACCATATATACAATTGCTGAGTATAAGAAAACGAATGCACATATACTTCCAGCATGGCCCTGGGGTCTACCCCACCCTTGAAGACTTGACCCTTGGGTTTTAACTTCAAAATGAAAAAAGATCCCCACCCAAAAACTTTGTATACAAATGCTGCTCATGAGGAGATGAATGCATTCATGATATTACAATTTATCCTGGGGTCTGCCCAACCCTTGCAGACTTAACCCCTGGGTCACAACTTTGAAACGGTTGAGGTCCCCAACCCAAAAGTATATATACAATGCTGGGCATAAAGAGACGAATGCAGTCATGATATTACAATTGATCCTCAAGGGTCTTGCCACAACCCTAGGGACCTAGTTTCTGAGTCACAGCTTGGAAACAGTTGAGATCATAACCCCATAACCATACATAAAATAGCTGGGCATGAAAAATTTAATACAGATATGCTACAAGGATTGGCCTAGGGGTCTGGCGCATTTACTTGGATCTTGTTTCGAGAATATTTTGCCATGATTGCTTAGATACCCAGGTGAGCGATACAGGCCCTATGGATCTCTTGTTTATATGCAGAATGGATGGGCTACTTTTTAATGATGGATTAATCAGATTGATATCCTAATTTGTAAAGATGGGACATGGTTACACTGTTGGTTACTATGTCACATAATACTACCCGTAGTACAGTATAAATATAAACTTTATTTATTTTACAACAATTATGACACAAGTTATTTCATTTACTGGGTCACACATAGTGACTATAGCCAGTCTAGTGGCATAGGGTTAGATCTATAGGGACTAGAACCAGTCTAGTGACATATGGTTAGATCTATATATGGACTATAGCCAGTCTAGTGACATAGGGTTAGATCTATATATGGACTATAGCTATAGCCAGTCTAGTGACATAGGGTTAGATCTATAGGGACTAGAACCAGTCTAGTGACATAGGGTTAGAGAGACAGGGACTATAGCCAGTCTAGTGACATAGGGTTAGATCTATAGGGACCATAGCCAGTCTAGTGACATAGGGTTAGATATATAGGGACTATAGCCAGTCTAGTGACATAGGGTTAGAGAGACAGGGACTATAGCCAGTCTAGTGACATAGGGTTAGATCTATAGGGACTAGAACCAGTCTAGTGACATAGGGTTAGATCTATAGGGACTATAGCCAGTCTAGTGACATAGGGTTAGATCTATAGGGACAAGAACCAGTCTAGTGACATAGGGTTAGTTCTATATAGGGACTATAGCCAGTCTAGTGAAATAGGGTTAAAAACATAGGGGCTACAGTCTGTATAGCCAGTCTAGTGACATAGGGTTAGAAACACAAGACTATATATATGAAGTCAATAGAAGGAAGAGTTTCATTTGGACTGTAGTAAGTCTCAAGTTACAATCATTGGGACTGTAGCCATTTAGTTCTACTTTGAATGGTGTAATCAATTGAAAAGGTTTGATTTTAAAATTCATGACTGATCAGTTACTTGTGGTGCTATAGATATAATATTTTAGACATTTAACTGGAGATATTTGTATTGTCTGCCCATTCTTGTTTTTGCATTGATCATATTATGATTAGCTTTTTAAAATCCAATGGTTTTCCACCGCCACTAGTGGATTCAGGACATTTAACTACATTTGTGTTGAAGGTTATGTTTTGATATTGATAATGAATTAGAATATGTCAGTGTGTACAGATCCAGAATAATAAAAATTACTTTTTAAGAAAACCTGGGCCCACACAGTAGCTTTCATTCAGCTAACATTTCGTCAAACAACTATCAGCCGTCACACTATTTTTGCAGTTCATTTCATTCAAATGTGCCTTGGTGTTGTGGTCGTGCATACTGACTGAACATGTTAAGGGATGGGTTGTAAACTTTGACATTTATTATTGTTACACCTCAAGTGAATTTCTAGCTATTTAATTGGTTGAGAGAAATTTAAACAAAAATATCTGTCACCCTCCTAAAATACATTGGTTTTAAGGGGCGTAGGTGATATTCCATGAGACGGAGAAAAATATTACATGCGCGAAAAATGTGCGTTCATCGCTTCGTTTCCTCACAAGAACGTTTGATGGCAATAGCCAATTTTATCAAGCGTCGGTGCGATAGCGATAATAAACAGCAGACTATCAACAAACAAGATGTCATTATCGAGGTTTGCCGCCGTTTCTGAGCTACAAAGACTTTTGGTGTAACAAAATAGATATGACATTCATTAGCAGGTGCAACCTCAACCCTCAAAAATCCATTGTCACCCTCGGCTTCCCCTCGGGTGACAATGGTTTTCTCGGGTTTACAATATTCACTCTCACCTGCTAATGAATGTCATATTTATATAGTATGCCCTCCAGTACAGTTGGAAGGAAAGATGGGTGTACACTCAATCCATCTCATCTGTCAGTCAGACCATCTGTCACTTTATCGAGAGCATATCTCATATACTCTGTACAGATCCTGTTCACCCGGTGATCAAATTTTGTTGGTGAGTAGATCTGTTGATATTATATAAATATCACATTCATGAGAGGGCGATATTGCATATTTTCACCCAAAGGAAGCATTGTTGACCGAGGCGAAGCCGAGGTCAACAATGCTTTCCGAGGGGTGAAAATATGCAATATCGCCCTCTCATGAATGTGATTTTTATTTTATTATACCGAGTGTCATGTTTAGGTGTTTCACCACTTCACCAATTATAAAGGTCCTTATGTTGATTTGACATAAACCAAGACTTCATCTCAACAGTTGTCGAATGAACCAACCATGAATGTGATTTGCTAACACCCTGGCACTGGGACGAACCATGCACGCATACGTTTGGCGCATGTCACAATTTTTGGAATAACACCCCGGCACTGGGACGAACCGTGCACGCATACGTTTAGCAATGTGATATTTTTTGGAATGTCTCCATGTTTTCTTTATCTTTGTAAAACGAGCAAGTAACATTGAAAATGTTCACATCTTTATCAACCAATCAGATTACGAGATTTTAACAGAAGGTATAATAACAAAGACTATTACCCTACACTGCTCCATTATGTATAGAGTTGTGGCCCTTTGTTAATTGTGCTGCACCTTTTTGGGCATGTATCACATGTACTCTGTCACCTACAACTGCCAAAGTTTGTGTGTGAGTACCTCTAATTAAGTTACTGTCTAAGGACGGCAAAGTGTCATATACTCACATTAGGTCTTGTGTCCCTCTGAATACAGAGTTATGGCCCTTTGTTCAATTTTGATACTGAGGTGTGTCAGAGTGGGGAAGTATATATATATATGGACTGCTGACAACACTTTGCCTTACAGAAAATAGACCCATCCTATAAAACAAAAAGAAATCATCTGGTCCTAGCTAGTTGGCTTACAATCCTTCAGGATGGGAATTTGTTTGAAGTGTATCAAATGCAATGCCTAATATCTTCTGTGGTGTTTATATATCATATTGTTGAGATATTTACCTTTTGATTGAGATGACCACACCCCCACTACCCCATCTCTTTGATCAGCTTTTGGAGGGAACTATAACTGCTTCTGAAGAGGTAACAGATGTTAGCCTTTGATATATCTACATCTTTTCAGGTAGACTGCTCAAGCTATGTTCACAAAACATTAGCATTTACCCAGTGCTGAGTAAATCTGTGTGTACGTGATCCACTGAGATTTTAGATTCATCTATATTTAACTGGTTAAAATGTAAATATCAAAATGTGTATTCTAGCTCCCTTTAGGACACCACATATTGGTCTGATTTATTGTCAAATCCAAGTCTCTATGCGACAAAACGATAAGTCATAT